ATTTGGGCTTTTAACCAGAAATATCTCCTTAGATTAATGCATTTAGTATGGGGAATCCGGGTACACCCCCACTTTACCGCGGACCTATTATACCGCCGAGCTATAACTTTGTTCAAAATTGTTGAATCCGGGAGGCCCTGGTATGGTTCGATGCGCCTCAACGATCTGAATCGAATCATACCAGGGCTTCCCAGATTCGACAATTTGAAACGAAGTTATAGCTCGGCGGTATAATGGGCTCGCGGTAGAGTGGCCTGCTCCCGGGGAATCCGGAGATTTTCTGTTCCGATATCGCACCCTGATCATGATATCCGTTGACTTAAATTAATTTTAATTAATTTATAATATGTACTTATTGCATATTCAACAGATAATTTTTCGCCTTCCTTTTGTTTCAAATCTAAAACAAAATATAAAGATTTTTCCAAATCTTCTTCTATAATATCAAAGACATTGTTTTCTTTACTTCGATAAAATTCCAAAAATTTATGTCCAAGCTTAACTAATTCTTTATTATTTTCAACTAGTGGTTGATATTTCATAGAAATTGAATTAAGATTATCCTCAAATTTTTTAACAAAATTATCATCAAAACGCCAATTTGTAATCATTTCGAATGATATGTCGAATAACAAAAAATAATCTTTAATCAGTTCAAAAAAGGATATAATAGACTTTTCAATTCCATAGTAATCCTCTAAATTAAATCTTTTATTTAACAAAATTTTGTCCAAAACATATAATGCTGATATATATACTCTATTTATATGTATAATTGCAGATCTTTCAGGAACTATTTTTTTAGACATAGGTTGATTTAATAATTGTTCATTATTTGTAAATAATTCGGTTATTTTCTGGATTACTTGTGCATTATCCCAAGATTCACTTTTGTTAGCCTTTCTAGCTTCTTTTTCAGCTTTTTTATTTTGTTGATCCATCTCTCGAAGATGACGATTTTTTTGTTTTATAATGTCATTTAAAAACATGATATCTTCCAAATCTTTCTGCTTATTTTTCTTTTTATTATTATCTTGTTCTTTTATTTTTGACTTTCCTTTATTCTTCTTTTTCTTTCTTTTATCAGCTTTTCTACTATCAGCAGATTTAGTTTCATTTGAAGTATCAGATTCATGTACTAACTAAAAATTTTGATAATGATATGTCTAGTTTTAGATTGCTAAGTAAAAATTTTAATATAAAAACTCATGCTCTTGACACATAAAGCATTCAAATGGACAAGAATAAGCTTGTAAACTGGATCTATTATTCCTTTAGAGCGAGTGAGACATAAAAAATCTTTTACACTTTATTATGAAATTAATTTATTATTATTTAGAGTATTTTTTCATTAGACTTTTGACAGCATTTATATTATGTTTATCAGCAATAATAAGAACGTTATTTGTCGACCTCGCAAGCCACATTAGAATGCCCCAACAAGTTTCACATTATGTATTTAATTATTATTACAGATGTTAATACCTTTAAATCCTCTGATTGTGTTAGTGGCAAATTATCATCAGTAATCTTTAGTTTATTTAAACATTGTTTTTCCAAATTGTTATCACTTTCAATAATCCTAGATTCTTTATTTTTATCTTCACTATTTTCTTCTATATAAGAAATTATTTTTTTATCTTTATCTTGTTTGCCCTTTCTCTTCTTTTTACTTGAAGATTCTTGCCATTCTTCTTTTTTATGATCTAGAACTAATTTTTGTTGATCATCTTCAATCTAAAATAATTACTATAATACAAACTAATATTAACGGAAACCTTCGGGATTTTTATTAAATTTTTTTCTACCATCTCCATTTTTAAATTTATAGTTTCTTTATCAATATTCTCTGCAGGTTCTTCAATTTTTAAATCCTTATTTTTTTGTTTACTTTTTTTCTTTTTGGATTTTTTATTTTCTGTTTGGGACTTAACTATATCAATTTTATCGACATTATCCTTTATGGTTTCACTATTATTTAATGATAGATCTTCTGAAGTATTAACAGGCTTGTTATCCTCAAATTCCATATCAAAAAGAACACCATCCTTTACTCCTTTTATATTTTCACTTAACAAAGTTAACAATCGAAAGTCACTATTTTCTTCAATAAATTTATATGACGTTCTATAATATTTTAGTAAATTGACTATATGTCTTGGAAAATTATTCCCTGTGTATTTTTTTGCCTCCTCCACATATTCAAGGAAATATGGTATCTTTCGGCAATTATAAACAATTTCTGGCGATTTATCAGGATGGAATTTCCTTGTTTCTTCTGAAAATTAATACTTACATATAAATGAATTTTAGGTCAACGCCCCTAATTTTGTCGAATGGATAATTTTAATCTGTTAAAAATTTGATCTTTTTAAATTTTTAAACAAAATTAAGTATTTTTTATGGTGACTCATTGAGTCAGGTTCATTTTGAGGTTCATTCATTTGTATTGTTTATATATCATTAAGAGTGATATTTTGAGAGAATAAAGTTATGGTTATTAGGATAGATTATTCTTAGTCTGGTTGCTTCTTAGAACCTTGCCTCCAAAATAGAACAGAAAGATCTTTATCTAAAACATACCATTTTTTACGTCAAATAACTCATTTAAATCTGTATTCGTCATTACATAAGACTCCAACCAATACTTCCATTTAGAATTATCAAATATTTTAAGGATAACAATTTTGAACAAATGTGTAGGTACATAAATTTCTTTTGGACCGATAACCTAATATTTAAAATATAATTTACTATCTTATATTATAGTACAATAAATTACTTGAAATTCCATTAAATTTTTCTCTTGATTTGGCAAAAATAATGGTCCAGTATAAATAAATGTTTCTTCTGCTACTTTTGCCATACAACTTAAAGAATACGTAATACACCATTTTTAAAATTAAAACGGTATACCGTATTTATTTTAATATAACGACAGTCTCTATTATAACGACAGTCTCTAATAATACGACACCCTAGAAGAGGGTTGAAAAATAAAACGACATGCCGTTATATTAGAATAAATATGGTATGTATCTAAGCATATGTTATGAATCTACTCTTCATTATAATACCAGCTATAGGTATATATGCTTGCTATTTTAAAAGTCATGACCCCAAATCTATATGTTGAATAAAGTTAATCCATAAATAATGTTCCGAGTTACTTTTTTGTTACCCTGTAGAATGTAATTTACCAGCATTCTCTCTAGGGTGTACGCCAAAGTGAAATCCTACTGTAGTTATTCTTATATTTTGTAGCAAGCAATGGAGGTTCTAAATCATTATACTAAAACAAAATTAGAATTATTTACCTAATGTATCTTCAATAACCCTCCAATGTCCACTGTTAACTTTATTGTATTGTGGCACTGAATTTGTAAGGTAAAAGCCTTGCTCGTGTGGATGTAAATTTCCCGTTGCTAGATGGCCATGATTATATATGGAATTCTTAATTTACAAAATTTAGGGGAAAAAGATTGATTAAACCGGATGACACTCATAATCATTATATTTTGGCTGAAATATTTCCGAAAAATTTGGATCAGCTGACCACCAAAATTTTTGTGCTGTTAAATTATTCATACTTTCCTTCGTTAAATATTCCAAAACCCAATCTCTTCCTTCTATTAAAATTTATGATAAAATCCTTGAAAATATTATTATTAATTATGGAAATTGGATTTTTTCGGAAAGCTTCTCCCCTTTCTTTCTGAAAATTTCTCTCTAGGACATTCTTGATTTTATAGCCTTTATTCTCTAATCCTCGGTCTTTTAGTAATGGAAATTGCTCCTATGAAATTCCTTTTTAGGATGATTCCTCTCCGACACAAGAAACTAGGAACGAAACAGTAATTTTCAGAAACCATGATTAATGAATATAATAATTTTAACAAACCTTATATATTCGAATGTTTGATTTTTTATATTTTTCTCTATTTGCCTCCGTTATATCGCTCAAGTCTATATTTTTAAATTTTCTTGCAAATGTTGGAAGTGAAAATTCTTTTTTAAATTTATTTTTGGATGTTGGAATCGCTGGTTTAAATAATTTGCTATTATCACAAATATCTGTAATTTATCTAGATTTTATAAAAACTTGGAAAGATTATATTAAAGCTATTCAGACTAAATATTTTGCTTGACTCAAAACCAATACGAGACCTAAGACTTGATACTTAAAACTTAAAACATGCAAAATAATTTGTTGGACTTAGGTTAGAAAGTCGAGGAGTCATTAAATTATATCTTAAGTCATTTAATTCATCGTGAATTTCAAGCAAAATTGTATTTTTCTATTACACTAAAAATTCGAGACAAGCTCGACATCAAGCGCATTAATGTGTAGCAAGTCATTAATCTTCAACTACCTAATTTCTTTATTTTATCAAATCCAGAATTTTTCAACAAATCAATCAATCAAATCCAATATACCATTCTAAGAATTCCAATTTATTTTTGAATAACTCTAACATAATTTTATTATCATTAATATAATTTTTGTAGTCCCAATTCTGTAAATCATCTTTTCCGCAATTTACTTTAGAAATATCATCAAACTTTGTATCATCATTCCAATTAGCTTCTGTAAAAATTATGTCTGCACAATATTTTTTAGTTTCATATTCAATAATAACAACTTTGAAAATTTGATTTATTGGGGGATGCTTTACTACTTTGTTGAACTTAAATAATAAATTATAAAAATGAGGAAAAGTTCTTTTAACTAATTTTGATGATTAAATGTAAGTGTAATAATGAGATAATTAAGGTTCTGCCGGTTGAGAAAATACAGTAATCGTTAATGAAATACATGAATGCTGGCTACTAGAATGTGAAGGGATTGAACTTAAGAGGAGTTACACAATGAAGAAAAATATATGGTATTGATAGATCTTGTGCCGAACTCTATTACAGAGTAATAGAGAATTCGATAGCAAATTGCCAGATCAAAGTTCATAGGAAACATGACAGCGAAAATTACTATGTTAAGATAATTAAATCCCTACCGGATAACTTTTTACACTTCCCTTCTGTTCAATTTTTTCTGAAACAAGTACTGATATTGGACCTGTGATTGTTATGATATTCTTCTTATTCCATTTAGCAACACATCTAAAAATGAATTTAAACATAAATAATCTTTAATAACAAGACGAAGGAGGGAGGTATCATATGGGAAAATCATACCAGGAAATATACTCACGAAATTGCGTTATTTAATTAATCCGAGGTGTCACTTTATCAAGCTTTTTTTGGTATTTAATAAAATTAACCTCGCATATCTATCAAGCAGTTCAAATGTCTTTAAAATTTTTTTATCACCATGATGTCCAAACTTTTCATATTTTTCTATTACCTTGCCTTCATTTATCTTATTCTTATGTGAAACAATTTCTAGAATCCAATTTGCTTTTTCTGATAAGAAATTGATGCCCATCAAATACTTAAAAATTATAATTTTTATTAATTTAATTTTTTTCGTATAATAATTTTTAAATCATTAATTAATACAAAGAATTTATAAAATCAAAATTAAAAAGCCGGAATCATCCTAAAGACACGTGAACGAGGTATGATGCTGGGACGAGGTACGAGGTACGATGCTCAAAGGGCTTCCCTATACCTCCAAATCATGGTGGCTTCCCTATTGAGCCTATAAAAATCACCCAACTGCGTGCGATTCACCTATTCTTATGCTCTGCGGAGTTCACTCATGATCTCAAACACTCGACTCTGCTTATACACTCAATTCCTAAACGATACACTTATAAACGGGAAAAAAGGGGTCTATTAAATAAAAGTTCAAATAATATAAAGCATATTTGATTATATTAATCTATTTTCCAACCTTTTCATCAGATAAAAATTTCTCGTCTTCAGGCCATCCAAACTCATCAAAATGCTTTGATATATTATAAATAATCCCTTCAGGATTGAACTCCGTAATAAATTGTTTTTCAAGTTGATTCAAAGTATTTTCACTCTGATTTGCAACACCCCAAAAACCTGCATTAAAATGACTTTCATAATAAGCTGGGAAGTCTAATCCCTCAGGATTTTGTGTAGATGTTGGAAAATATTTATCAAAATCACAACTTCCAGTTGGCGTGAAGTTTTCAGGTAAAAATTGGTTGAAGTATTGATCATCAACTGACAAATGTGTTAAAATGAATCAATTAAAAAAAGGATTCTTTTTGATTTGAGTTTTATCAGAGGTTTTAAGTTAATTGTAAATCTAAATTTTTTTTAAGTTCAAAGGACAGGGTTCAAAAGTACTTATGCCAGAAACGCTTATTTTTAAAAATTTTTTAGCTGACTTTTGAAATAATATTATAATAGGTATAATAGGAAATATAAAGATTAAAACATTACTCCCCTTTGTATAAAATTAAGTAATACTTACACTGATAGTGAGATAAATGATCATTATAAGGTTTGAATTCTTTTGCTATAAAATAAAAAAATTTAATTAATACCGAATAAATTTAACATATTGGAAATTATAAAATGAATGTCAGTATGAGAATAAAAACTATTGAAAACCAGTCATTCTCTTTAGAAATAGCTACAAAAATCAAATAAGTTTTGAAATACCTAAAGGATTTAAAGAGCTTGTAGAAGGGCCAGGATCTGGCTTGTTGCTAGATTCGGGTACCGAATCATCCTTACGTGATGCGCATTTAATAGGACTAATTACAAATGTAAATAATAATAGCGAGATAAATAATAAATAAATATAGGTTTTCATTTAAACATAAATGAATTTATGAATGAAAAGCTGAAATAATAATAATAATTATTATTAATAATTACCTAACGCTAAAAAGGTTTCAACATGTTCGGTATCTCTCTCTCTCAAGAGAGAGACAGTCATAGCGGGACTTTGGCAAACAAAATTCTTGGCTTTGACTATAAATATTTTTCCATTTGTGCCTGTTTAGAGTGACCATCTGTCCTGTTTATAAAGCGAGCCCTTTCTCATTTATTATAGGATACAAGGGGAGAGGATGTGATCGGGACATTCCTAGAAGACCTTCGGGGTTGATCAAGTCCCTTAGACTCTTCCCTAACACCGAACACACCAAAGTGGATTAAAGCGCTTTATTCACAAACTAGGAAATATTGACAATAATATAATCGCTAGCTAGCACATAATTAATAATTTAATACAACTGAACCGTGTATAACTGTGATCAAATCATTTAAATAAACATTTAAGTGGGAGGGTAGGCTAATGGATTGTTGAAATAATGTGAACGGAAATATAATCGAACAAATTCCTTCGGGTAGTCTTTCCAAGCCCATTATTTACTAGGAAAGGACTTAGAGTCCTACAATTTTAAATCGGTTGTTTTTAGATAGTAAATGAATTGTTTGATCAGCTGAATTAAATTAATAAAGAATATAGGAAAAGGAAAAAATATGGAAATCCATCTAAATCGCATCCCTAGTGATAATAACTCACTGAAAACAAAAGATTTTTAAAAATAAAAACGGATTTGAGCTCAATTCATTATAACTATATCGCAAGAAATATGTTACAACTAAAGTGAGGATTTATAGGCAAGTAAAAACAATGAAATACACACCTAAAATTGGCACTAAAAGCCAAAAAGGATTTTTGAATATAAACGTACATATTTATAAAATAAATTTTGAATAAAAAACTATTAACTTAAATAGATATACATAAACATTACCAAAAACCTATTAAAATGGATTACAAAAGTTTTGATGTAAGGATTAAATGTTAAGCTTCTTTATAAAAATTATTTTTTTATTTATAAAAATTATTAAAAAATTTAAATTTCTAAAATAAATTTTGAATTGGGGAGGGGAAGGGAGGGGAGAGAGGGAGGGAGCGAGCGAGCGGGCGTAGGGGAGAGGAATTTTATTTACACTCTTAGTAGTCGAGAAAATCAATTAAATAAAGTCGCTCAATGGCATGTCAAAGGAAATTAAAATAGGAAGGAGATAGAAGGAGTTTTCTTAAATAATTAAAAAAACTTCTTGAAAAACATATGCTGAACGGTAATGCAAAACCTCACTCTACGAGTAAATTGGATTTTTAGGAGTTACAAGAAGGAGATCACACTAGAATTTCCTACAGTAATATAACAGTTAAGGAAATATCCCTAGCGAGCGTAGGTGAGAGGAATAAATAGTGTAATTTTTATTTTAGATGTTTTTAAATGGGTAAAAAATTGTTTGATATTGTTTGATCATTGTTACATTCCTAGTAACGATTTTCGAAATTAATGCTTGCTAAGAGTTTTATTTTTTGGCCATCTCAAAATTCAAAGAATTAAATTTACTTTTGTGTAAGAAAATGTATTAAAATAAAAGCTTCAAGCAAAATGCGGAAAGTCAAAAAATTCGAAAAAAGTCGAATAATAATGCACTTTTTTAATAGTTCTCGTTAAATTTATTTTATTTTTACTAGCAATAGATAGTGTAATATTTTGTCGGATGTTTTTAAATAGGTAAACAAATTGTTTGATCAGCTAAAGCCTATGTAAGTATTTATATGTCAAGAATGAACAGATAAAAATAAAATATAGCATCTAAAATCTTAGAAGAATCTTAATTTATAAATTTTTTTCTTTAATTGTTTCCTCTATATTTCTATACTCATTTAAGCTCTTAAATACTTTTTAAAAAATTTAGCTAATTCATAATTACAGATTGTCAAAAATTTTTTTTAGATTTTACTATGTTTATAAGATCCGACTAGATTAATACTTTTATCAGAAACTTCTTTTAATCTTGACAGATTTTAAACAAATTTCCCTGAAAACTTAAAGTTTAACAAAATTATGAAATATCAAAAGGTTAGTATAATAGATTACAAAAGTTTTGATTGTAAAGATAAAATGAAAAGAGGTTATTTGCAAAATGTTTTCTTTATTAATTAAAAGTTATTTAAAAATACAAATTTCTAAAATAAATTTTGAATTGGGAAAGGGAAGGGAGGTGAGAGAGGGAGGGAGGAGGGAGAGGAATTTTATTTACGCTCTTATTAGTCAAAAAAAGTCAATTAAATAAAGTCGCTCAATGGCATGTCTAAGGAAATTTAAATTATGTATGTATGTGTCCAATCAATTTAAATTTAATTTTAAAATAAATTTTTTTTAATTTAAAAAAAGTTTCTTATGTTGAGCGATCAGGAGACTTCTTTTTCAACAAGGCAGACAAAAGCGGGTCTATCCAATAATCTTGAGTTTATCCAATAATGTCTAATAATCAACTCAACTTAATGCTCGTTTATAACTAGATCTTCGTTTTCCTTAAAATATTATTTTCAATTTTATTTAATAATCAATTAGTTTTGCAGTTTTTTTCAAAAATGTATATGGTTAATTAATTAATTTTTAAGATTAATTTACTTGTTTACTAATATTCATTTTTTTATGTTTAAAACAAAAAATAAATTTTAATTTCTATCAAAATCGTCAATATTTAAAGTTTACTTTTAAAATCTTAAGTTTTTTCAAGCTACGTCTCGCCCTCTTGAACATTTTTTTGAAACTTTATAAATTTTAAAATAACTATTAAAAGCAAATTAAGATAGTTAAATTATGACTTTTTTATCTCTTAAAAATGTAAACTTGAATAAATGGAAGGGTTTGAAGAAATTAAATAAATAGTGCTGCTAATAGAGGCATAATTTTATTACATAAGTATTATTTTTCTTAATACAAATTCAAACTTCCCGTTTTCATCAATAAAATTCATAATTTCCTACTAAATAGCCATTGTAATACATTAATCTAATTATTAAGCTATGACAAAGCCCAGGTTATACTACGTGGGGTTGCACGGAGGTAAACAATCAAACTCAATTCACCGTTATCCTTGGTTAAAGAGGGATGGAGGAGGGTACCTCATCACTAAAATAATAAAAATATTATTTTTAATAAATTTATTTGTTTTTTAAAACAGATGAAGTACACTAATTAATTATTATTTTTTAAGAATTAAACAGAAAATGCGCATGTTAATAACAATTTCAATCATCCAATTTTCAATCGGATTTGCTCTTCTAATACCTCCTAAGGAAGAAACAGGATCGAAAATTGAAGGATTAGCTAAGGAAAAGACTGAAGAGAAGCTCGAAGTAACAAAAGAAGAAAAAAGGGAATCAGAAGAGAAAGACGAATTAATACCTGAAGAGAAACCTGAAGGTAAAGATGAAGATTCTAATACAAAAAATGAAGAAAATCCTCAAAGTAAAGCTAAAAGAGGGGAAGATAAAATAGCATCAATTCGTGAAAAAGGGGAGAGAGTTATGATAAGGAAAGCTAGATTAATATTTACAGCGGTGCCTGAATTGAAAAATGGTATTAAAAAGGAAGATAAAAAAGAAGGAAATAAAGAAGAAGAAAAAAAGGAAGAGAAAGAAGAAAAGATTTCACAAACAAAGAAAGACTTAACAGA